AAAAGGAAAGCACTAAATAAGCACCTCACTAGATGGCGACATAACCAAAAGTTGATTTTTGCAGGAAACGAATGGACCAAAGATAGACATTTCCGTTCCTTTTAATTAACATATTAAAAAACTGAAACTTGCAAAGTTCGAAACTTAGATATCAACGCAAATACGATTAAGTAAAAATAGAAGATGAGTTGTTTATTGAGTTTTTGTTGTTTATTGAGAAAATTAATTTAAAAAAATTAAAAAGAAAACCGGAAGCGTTGTCATGGAGAAATCAAGAAACTACCGTAGCGACATCTGCTTTGATTTCGTGAAGTAATGTTTTTTTTAAATACTTCGTCATTAAACCGAATGCAATTTCAAAGAAACCTTTTTGAAGATAGCAGAAATTAGAACAGCATAATGCGTGTTCTTAATAACCTACGCAAATGTGAGTACGCGGTGCGATTTCGTCGTATGATGCGTTCTAATTAAATTCCATAGCGTCATCGTGCGATGGCCAGAAATCCTCAATGAGAATAGTACGACGATTCGGTTGAGTATCTTTATTAGTCAAGTGTTACCTTGTCGTTCGATTTTAGTATCGCTATTTAAGTTTCGTTGACGGCACGAAGATATGGTACTTCAACCATTAGGATATAAATAGATAACCGACAGAGATATTATATAAATAGATAAGAGTAGGAGTAGAAATGGTAGCCACAGTCAGACCTCTATAAATCACATGGTTAGAAAGAGAGAGAAGACTGTGGTGAGAATCCTATGAAACTCATATTTTACTGCAGTTTCACGACGTGACGTAGTGTTTAATGTATTCTTTACTATGCATAACTTATGTAAGTAGAGAGACACATATAGGGTATCAATATATTCTCTTTCTTTCTAGCCGAGAGACGATTCCGCTTACAGGCAGTGGTATGTCTTCACTACGCTTTATAACCTCTAATTATTTTCATCGCACGACGCCATCGCATCTTTCGTTTGTATTATCACGATGCCGCTTAATAACAACCGCTTGCCCAATTTTCAATATTCTAAAGATTTTGACATGAAAAACTCTATTTTATCTAGAAAGGTATCACGATGAGTATCTACGGCACTCGAATATGATACACATAGAGATCCGATAAGTTTGTGTCAATCAGATGAATGCTCTGCTCGTGATCAGCTGGCTATATCCAAAGAATCAAGGTCAATGACCCTTAACACCTTGCCATTGGTTCGTAACATCTACTATGAACCATGCGAAAATAGACAGGCCGTTCAAAATTATAAAATAAAATCGAAAAATTCATAATATATCATAAAACGAGGGCTCAAGTATGTTACTTAGTTTAAACCATTGGCCGCCTAAATCAAGAAGAAAACAGAAATCAGAAGAGAAAACGTCAAATTTAGACGTGTTGTCTTATATTGATCGGATGATGGTTTAAACCTGGTACTTAAGTTAGCCTCCGTTTTATAATAAAACAGATAAGGTAAAGTCAAAAAAATGTGTATGTTTTTGTATAGTATAGTATAGTTTTCTAATTAAATGTGATTATTGTGTAATTAAAAAAAACTTTCCGAAAAAAGTATAATATCTCCTCAAAAAGAGTCGGACATATCGAGTTATCAGTATAAAATCCGTGTGTTTTCTAAGAAATTATGGTAGAGATCAATCATTATTCATAAAAACTGTTGTTCTAGAAAGAAATTGTAGATTTTGCGCGTTATTTGTTGACAGTATCCGATAAGTAGTTCTGCTATTATGTCAAGTTATCAGACATATGTCAATATACGGAATAATTTAGTGAAACGGACGTACAAAACGTATTTAAAAACGGGCCCCTATTACTTTTAGTTCGTCTATCTGCCATCAGGCTGTATCTCAAGAACTGTGATAGCTAGACAATTCTTTATTGATGATGTATTTCTGTTGCCTCTTTAACAACAAATACGAAATCAGAAAGAAATAAATATCTAGAGGTCCCATACAGTAAGTATGACGCCTTCGTGTGCGAGTGACTCGCATTTGACCGGTTTTTACTCGTTTTTTGTCTATTGTGTAGTTATGGTGGAAACTTAATTGGTAGCGTTGGCTATCGAATTAAGTAGCTCAAATAAAATTATAATAAAAAATTTCCAATAAAGAATAAATCAAAAATATGACTCGTGAACCATGGATCGCAAGAACTCTATGGAGAAGCAAAGAGACTCAACAGAGTATGCATGCAAAACTATTTTTTAACAATTCAAAAAAGGAAGAGAACGATTGGATACTATTCAAAAGAGTTTATTGATATATGATTGCTATCAACTAAAAAAGACTATAACATTGACTTTGATTGTTAAGTTTTTTTAAATTCAAAAATACATATAACTTTTTTGGTATGTACTTTTTTCTCAAAATTTAGTAATGCATATGTCGAACATAGATAAATATACCATAGTTTCTGTAGGTAAACATACGTGAAGCTGAGATATGATCACTTTAACTTACTATGACGCGGTGATTAAAATTACTGAAATTCTCCGTACGTATACTTGATGACCCCTGTGTATTAAAAATTGACATTTATGTTAATATAGGAAGTTCGGCGGTGGACCTTCATTGAGTCCTTTGCCTCAGACATTTTTAGGTGAAGGTTACAAAACGATAGCGAAAACTGAACGTAAAAATATTGTGATTAAAGCACATTCCACATAAATAAATAGTTATAGCATTTTATGATAACTTATTTGAATGTAAAGGATCATCAGCTTGCCAATCGTCACGACCAGGAACTGATATTTTTTTGTAATAAATTTAGTCATAATTTTTTAAAGTTAACTTTTTACGAATTATTTACAATTACATACGTTTGGAATTTAGTATTGTTTTTTTATACAGTTATATCCTACAATTACTTATTGAGTCTAAAAAAACAGCTTCTGCGCTAATTTTTTATTATTATTTTCCGAATGCTTCTTATATTTTTTATATTAAAATATTTTTTGTGCAATAACCTCTGTATCAGGGACAGTACTAAGCTATACCGTTTAAATATAAATAAATGTTAGAAAAATCACATTCATAACTCAGGTTCATATATGAGTAGATAAATCGCTCGTTGTGTTTGTTGTGGTCAATACCCAAACCCGAGACTATATGGAAAAGTTCGTTTTCTATTTGAACCCGTGACATCAAGGAAAGCTCCTAGAAACTAGCGGGCGAACCTCATAGGTTCAGAGGTCGTCATTAATTAAAAAAAAATAAGTCGTAATACTGTTAGGAATATATGCAAAATTTGGTTTTCGGAGAAACAGCCTGGGCCCTAAGTTTATATTGGAATTTAAAGATAATCTGAGTTAGGAATTTGAAGGTCATAATCAATGCGTCATAATCCTAGGATATGTGTGTTAGTAGATTGTTTAGCTCTGCCCTTATACCCAACTTCATATTTTGGTAACAATTTGTTTACAAATTCATTCATTCAGTTAATAAGCAACATACAAAACAACAAAGGAATGTAGTATTTTTCCTATCTGTACAACATGGAATGGCTTTTTTTATTCTGGCACGTAGACAGATTATATTTGATTTCATAATGTACAATTGTATATGTACAATTAAGTCAAGTGTCTGTTAAGACACCCCAAAGAAGATAGTGTTATTTGAAAATTATTCTTATTGTTTTTATTGATAAAGCATCTAATGCGGATCATATACGATGGTAGGCCTAAAATATTTTTTATAACTACAAAGGCGGTTTACTAATTTAATAGCGCTTTTGCTGTTAAGAAAATTAGACTCTTGACAAATGTTGAAACGGCAAGATTGGTATATTTTAGTTATTTTCATAGTGTAATGACGTATGGTATATTGTTATGGGGTTCTGCGGCTAGCATTCAGGATGTTTTTATTTTACAAAAGAGAGCTGTCCGTGCTATATATAATTTACGGTCTAGGGAATCTCTCAGAGAACTATTTAAAGAAATAAATATTCTGACTGTTGCCTCTCAATACATCTATGAGAATATTATGTACACAAGAAAACATTACGATTCTTTCACAAAAAAAAGTAGTGTTCATAATCTTAACACAAGAAATAAAGATAAACTTGCCGTTCCAAGCTTCAGACTTCAATAACCAGAGGATCATTTCTGGGTAAATGTATTGCTATGTTCAATAAAGTTCCACAAAATGTAATTGACCTACCCATAAATAAATTTCAAATTCATGTAAAGAATATACTTATGAGTAAAGGCTATTATAAAGTTGATGATTACTTTAAGGATCGCAATGCATGGAATTAATAGCCTTCGCTTTGTTTTATAAAGACTAATTATATGTTCAACTTATGTCCTACAGACTTTGAAAGTTGTATTTACTATTGTGATAAATTGATAATACATATTATTTTGGTAATGACATGATTTATGTAAATGTCATTACTTATGATAAAAAGCTGATAAGTTTCTTTCGCTTGTTCTTCTTGTCAGCTAAAAGACGTCCTGAACAAGTGGTAGGGGAAAAAAGTTTTTTTTGGACGATTCAAAAGTGCTTGTAATAGCCTACTTGAATAAAGATATTTTCATTTCATTTCATTTCATTTCAATAAACTTAATTTGGGCATGGATATGATGGCCATACTTTAATCGGTCAACTTTAAATGAAGTTCATTGCATTTTTAATCGCCTTTCGACTTTTTAAGAATGATTATCCGATTATTACATTTGATCAATTATGCATTCACAAAGATAAAGGTTCTGGATAATATTCTTAATGAAAAGTGTTTAAAACTTTGTCCTGGTATTTGTTCCATCTCAGAGTACCAAGAAAAAAGACGGATTTTTTAAGCATTTTTATATGATCTCATACGGAGATGGACTTTTTAAGCATTTTTATTAAGATTATTTTCCGAATTTTTAAATTATTAAATACTATATTGATTCCTTATATTTTCACGTGCACTATCCATAAGTGAAACAATTTTTAAACGAAACTTTTATTAGATACGATTTCAAATGTGTCAACTCACCTATGTGTCCTGTATGTTGAAAATTCGTTGGAGCTCCGATCATGGATCTGTCTATTCTTCGGCGTGTGCGCTGTGCCTGCGCCGCCGGTTGATAGCAGCACGCGAACCACTGTAGCCAGATCTCACTTCCAGTGCTGGCCATTTTGTATTTTTTAAGTTTTTAAATCTAAAAAGTTTCACTTCACTAAACACTATGAAACTCCTTCGCGTCAACACGTTCTTATAAATTTGAAACAATAAATTTCAACAATAGAACTTTTCCTTCAAAACAGACTAAAACTACTTCGAAAATAGAACAATAAATTGTTTTTCAGACACAATATGTTTCATCTGCAACCCGCGTCGCTGGTGTGAGGCTGACTGCAACGGGCACTTTTTCTATATAGTCCCTTAGTTTCAAAAGTATATTAAATTCGTTTAAATGACGTGCGATGCGATTATCTCCGAACTGATAACGATGATGGCATGATGCGATAAGATCTGTAAAGAAAAAACATTTGGAAATGAATAGAAAATTTATTTTGGTTTTATCGTTGTAGCAAATAGTTTAACAAACAACTCATTTAATAAATGAAGATATAATGAGTAAACAAACAATGACACACAAAATACTTGAGTTGATTAATATTTGTTTTCTATTTAGCTGAGTATTTAAGTTTCATTGAAACTGACAGATCTTATATTTACTTAAAACTGATTTTTCGATTACAAGAGCATTTCAAATATTTGGTAAATAAACTATTAAGTTATTTATAAACTATTAAACATTTCAGTTTTATAATTATTTATTCGAAATTAAACAAGTTGTAGCGTCTGAATAAATTTACGCTTAAATTGCAATTTTAGTATAAGTCCAAATTCATAATATACAGAAAATAAGCAAACCTACTACATTCTAGGAGTAAATATGACTCCCGTAGAATCTCGTACTATTTATTTATTATTATTAAGGCATGCTTACAGTTAGACATATTAAACAATATATATATAAAAAAGAATTAAAAACAGACAGATTTATATGTAAGCCTTTACAAGTATACCCAACATTCTTCGTGGAAAAAAAAACGAATTATGAAAAAAACAAACATTACACTAAAAAAACACAAATTATAAAATAAAATTAACATAACAAACATAAAGAGATAAATTTCTTTATCATTTTGAAGAAAAAAAAAACACTAGGTTACCCTTTGCTAAGTCTTTGTTTAATATGAATTTTGACTAATATTAAGTGCGTCATCGTAAATTTACTCCAACGCTGCACCAAAATTCTGTTTTACTATTATATAAAATATAGCGTTGTGTTAGACATTGTATTTTCAACAGAATGGAACTGTGGAGCAGCTTCTCTAATAATATACATACATTTTTCGCTTTTTTTTTTAATTCTTTTATTTTAAGTGATTTTTATCTTTTCGAACATGTTAACTCCATGTTCCCATACTTAAATATTAAATCTAAAGTAATTTTATGAGGATAGACTTTTCACTAGAGAATTTTAAATTTATAAGTAATTTACATGATTTTTGTGCAATGATAGACTTCGGCTCCACATACTAAAACATTTTGAATCAGTTCAATATCTAAAACTCTTTTCGTATAAACTTGATACGTGATACATTTTACGTTGGAAAACTATCTGCGGATAGATTATGTAGGTGGTATGTGAGAATTTGGTGTATATTGTTTTATTAATCTTATCTGTAACACATTGGATGTATTGTGGAGATGATCATATCATGACAATATGTCGGCTTTACATATGAGATATGAATGAACGAGTAGATAAAAATACGGGCGAATATTAATCAAGAATTTTGTCCTTTTTATTTTATTAAAACAAGAGTAATGTTTTACATTAAAAAAAATGTAATATCTACAATCGTTGACAGTATGAAACAGCTGATTTTTTTTTTCGTAAATACAGTGTTACTCCCATAGTAAATATTGTTCAGTATACTTAAATAATCCACCCCACGAAGTCCTGACATATAATAATATTACACCTTATATATTAATCATGAATAGTCTATGCGAAATATGTTGGAGTGTACCTCGCAATTGCAACAAAATATTATATGTAACAAGTTTTTTTTTGTAAAAGGAATGACCGTTTTTTGTATTCTTATAGAAAATTGTTTGTGTTGCCCTAATTAATAATTCAGATAAATTTTACTTTGCAGATGCGCAAAGTAAAATTTATCTGAATTATTACGATCTCGTTAACTGTAATGCGAATACCGACTTTACATGTGATTTATGTTCTTGAATCTGTGAGAAATCGCTTGTAAATTAAAATGTAAGATTTTAACGAAATGTATCCGTCATCAGTCAGACGGAAAACCTAACTTTTTACACATAATTAATTGGGTGCTTTTAGATCTACTCTTATAAAGGTGTTGTATCCAAAATGTACTTTTTAAATGGCAAAGGCATTTATTTATCATATCGAATACGAGTATATCAGAATATATTAAACAGTTCCGGTGATAAATACTTTCGAAAATCATACTCTCTTTATAATTTCACAATTGTAATGCATTTGCATGTTCGCATATTATGAAAAATTATAAACATTTTAATTAAAAAAAAAATTTTTTTTGTAGGAATTGTTTATAGGTAGCACTCGCCTGACAAATTTAACTAAGTTTGTTATATAATCGGGTCTAGCTGAAGTATCGATTATACTGTGTAAACAAAATCAATATGTCTATTTGTTACCCTTATCTGAAACTCGGACAAGTTATTCTGTTTCAAGGCGACAACTAATGTAGAATATTGAACCATTTCCCAGACTTGGTGCGTTAATGAAATTCAATAAACTTAATTTGTTAATTTCACATACATCTGTACTTTTTAACCGAGTTCCAAATCGATTTTGAAGTCAAATATAATAAAAAAAATATATATTCACCGATATATATCCATATACTCGTAATAAACTATACACCTCCGCCCAATTTCAATAGCAGCTTCTTGAAATTAAGTCACTTTTAAGATACTTAAGTATTATTTGTCACTTTCAAAGATTGAAGTCGATTAAAAAAAATTCATCATTTTTCGTGTAATTGATTTTTTTCATAATAGGTAACGCTAAAATATTAATCATCTACATAAAAAATATGTCATCACAGTGATAGTCTTAGGAAAGGAGATTTTGTTTATTAGCTCGACATTTTTTTTCTACTTTTTATATTAGGTAATGTACATTGCTATTAATCATCCAAGTTCGTCCAACTCTAAAACCATAACGGGTCAGATGCGCTTCTACATTATAAATGCGAAAGTAACTCTGTCTCTCTCTCTATCTCTCTTTCTATCTGTGTGTATGTGTTTTATTTTCACGCCTAAACTACTGAACAAATTTTGATTTTTGGTACATAGATAGAGTGGACCGTGAGGAAGAAGAGTGGAAAGGGCATAGGATAGTTTTCATCGCGAAAAATAATCTTAAGGTGTTGAAACTGGATGAAAATTTGTATGAAGTGTTATTATCGTCGAAGGCAAAAACATGTAATTTTGTAACCGAATATTAGGCGAGCGAAGCCGCAGACGGAAAGCTGGTAAAAATACTTTATAGTTGCCAATAAAGTTCTCCTGAAACAACGATTCTCTTGATTCTATGAGAATGTCAGTGAAAGTATATTAGATGATTGAGTCGCGGTTACAGCCACAGCGAAAGTGATGGTTGTGGCTAGTGTTGCCAGGTGTCCCGATTTACGAGGGACGTCCCGATTTTCAGGGGTCTGGGGACGCGTCCCGATTTGTACCTAATCGGGACGCTAAATATCACGATAAATCAAGTATTTTTATAAAAAAAATTTTTTTTTTCATACTGTCAAATGCATTTTTGAAAGCCCCTAACTATATTTATCTATGTCTGAAAGCATAAAAGCTACCAAACTAGTACTAATACTTGTTTTTTTGTCTGTCCCGATTTACAACCCCAAATCCCGATTAATTACACGCGCTGTCCCGATTAATAATAAATTGGACCTGGCAACACTCGGTGTGCGCCGGGCAACTGTCCCATCAAATGGACCAGTTAAAGGCCCAACCTTTACAGCTTTATCAAAGGTGTATTTTTTTCATCACCATCCTAATAAGCTTTTGCCGTGGAGACATATTAATGTCTCCATTGCAAAAGCACAGGCATTTCCAATAGATGGAATCAAATCAAATCTATTAGGGAGAATGGGCCATGACCCATCATGCGAACTCAGAGCGGATTTACGTATTCTCTTGAGTCATTGTCAATTTGCTTTAGAAGGCCAATGGTTTATACCAAGTACTCGTTTTATAATAAGACTGTTCCCGTTTTATGATAAGGTACAATTACGATGAGCCAAATGTTAACCAGTAATAGGTTTTAATATGGAAGTTTTTTTAAACGTTTCCGCACCTGACACCAATTTGGTATTTAGTAATTCGATTCGCAAACGGTATTTCGACAAACTATTGCGAATCGAGGCTGTTTTCATAATCGAATGTCGCGAAGGAAACCGATTTCATTGCTTACTAATCGAATAAAGAGTCACGATCCATTAAGTCAATTTGTGTTACGTTTAGTTTTGTTTATAGATAGTGCATTTGAAGGTCAGGTTATAACAAAGGTAACGTTTACACGAAACTTGAAAGTAAATTAGTATTTTTAATTGTTGATTTGATTAAACAACCTACTTAAGACAAAGACTCTGTGTCTGTTACGCTTAAACTAGTGAACCAATTTTAATGTTTAATACATAGTTAGAGTGGACCGTGGGAAAGGAAATAGTCTTTAACGCGAAAAATAGACTTAAAGGGGTTGAAATAAAAGATGAAAATTTGTATAAAGTGTCGTCATCGTCGTAGATTTAAACTTGAAACTTTGTATTTGGACACAGGATATGAAGTAAAATAAATATTTGTGGTTTTCCAAATTTCGATTTACATGGGTAATCTAGTCTATACTAATATTATGAACAGGAAAGATTTGATTGTTTGCATCGAATAGGGTCAGAAAATATTATATCGACTTTAAAAGTTCTTTTCACGACGGAAGCTACATTATACGCGGGCGACATAGAGCTGTAATATATGCAGGCGAAGTCGTAAGATAACAGTAAGTATATACACAGTCTTGCCAATAAATATTGTTACATAGAAAATCAATTTTGTTTTTATTGAAAGTAATATTTATTACTTTTACAGTGTGTTATTTTAATACATTCATATAAAGCCATGACAATTTATCTACTACTCTGCCGAGCTACTCAAACGGCTTAATTTCTATTATTTGAGATCTGAGTAGCGTATGTGAGGTTGTCTTATATTTTATTTATTCGAAAAATTACCAAATCAACAAAACCAGACTATGTGTAATATAGTTAACTATGAAATTCAAATGGGAATTATTGTTGTACAAATGTCTCCGGCTATGTGAACGTTTCACACACACACCATAGATAACGGTGTACGGTAACAGATATCCGATTAGATTC